GTAAGTGCATATTTCTTGATTACGAATTAATTAATACGAAATAAGGTTCCAGACATTGTTTTTTAAATAGCCGGAGAGTGACACATAACTATCCTAAGAGAACAGAGGTGAGTTGTGGGATTCTTTTTTAATGCATCTTTTGCTAGCTGATGAGGTGAATAAATAATAATATCTATCTATTTAATATCTAAATAATGTAAGGAATTGAATTTCATATCTAGAATTTCTGTCTGTTAAAATACTGTAATCACTGCACATGCGTATTAGTTGTTTTGAATGTTCGTCTAAAGAATACTTTTGTGTGTCCTGCAAACGCAACATTTTTAGTTCTTGCTAAATCACATTCCTAGTTGGTCTTGCATCTTTAAGATAAAAAAAAAATCAACGAGGTGGTACATGGGGGATATCAAGCAAAAATGTCTGCACAGTTATAGATAATATTCGTGTAAAAGGCGGATAAGTGTTATTCTACGTAATTCAAACTGGGAGGGGGGGGGCAATTTAAATTCATCCTACCAAGGCACATAAATGCCAGTCAAATATTAAATGTGTTCTGACATGCGTACGAACTAACGCAAGGACTTACTAAGTGAGTGGGGTATCCACAACACAGATGAACTGTCTTCACTACATCCTTCCCCACTCCATCAAAACACTTCATTGCATGATCTATCCCATAATTCAGCGCAACATCTGGGTTTCTCGCAAAAACAGGTTCGTCTATCTGAATGCTGCGACATCCTAAACATAGTATAAATAAATAATCAACCATGAGACTGGAGGTACTTAAATTGGGTTGCTTAGCAATAGATGGGATTCTGGAACAGGGCTGCTATCTTAATTTTGAATTATGTTATTACACGAGTAAACATTGCTCGTACTTTAAACCTGTCGTCTGCTAGTTTATTGGGCCCGACACCACGTACGATGCATAATGTTTAATCGGATTATCTTGGTCAAACAAAATTGTTCGCATGAAATGTGTTCCAAAATGGCAAGCTTTACTTCCCGATTCTGAAGTATTTTCATGACATGAGTTCCTAATGTATCACTTTTCTGTTTTAGTTGTATCCTTGAACTTACTATTCATAGTAATATGTCAAAAGATTCTTTGGCAAATATAACTTTGAATTGGAAAAAAAAATATTTGTAAATGGTGTCAATAGCTGATTTTATACCAGATAAGTTCATTGAATATAATAAAGTGGACATCTCCATATAGCTCAGAATATGGTGCGTGGACCGGTGCAGGATAAATATCCATAAATCTATTAAAATTTATTTCACAACAGTTTTTTTAAATGTATGGTTTTGTTAGGATGACTTGATCTATGCATGGAGCTAGAAAGTTTGTACCTCCATGATCTATGTAACTACCAGAAGGTTCGGAATAATGTAAGTAAGTGTGGTTGTTTATTTACGTAATTACTTATGCGAAGGAACATCGTACAATGAAAATTCTGTAGTTGCGTATTCCTTTTTCTGGGGTAAATGGCTATTCTTACGTTACCTCTCGTGTTACAATCTATAAACCTCATATTCTCCTCCCTCTGGAAAAAAAATAACTTAGGAATTTCTCTTCATATCAGAACGACGACGCGTATCAGTAAAGTTAAAGCGGGAGGGTCGTTACCTGCACACGCGCGATAACAACTCACGCTAAATACGTAAAGGTTCATGGGTAGACGCTTGTTTGTAAAAAAAAAAAAAAAATGACACACTATGGCCATCTGACGCATGCGTAGGTGACGACTCCCCCGCTTTAACAAGGAGAAACCCGCATTACAGCTTTGTATCTGACTTAACCACAACAATTAAAGTATAATATCGTAATGATTCCAACGTTACCTGCATTTACTAGCCCTAGAATCTGTTTGTTGATTACTTTTATCAGGTCTTTACTCAACTCTTCGTCATTACTGTAATATTCGTCTGTGTTCGAGAAACAAAAAACAGTGCGCCTATGAGCGTTGTTATTTTCGAAATAGTGAAATTCATTTTAACAAATAAAACTTCGTTCTTCGATCCATATCTGTACGTCCGAACTCGATGTACCATAAAATTATAGTAGTTTAACTGGCACTGGCCAGGAAATGATATTAACAAAAACGTGAATACTAATATTGTCATTAAAGGGCTGTCCCGTGCAGTGAATTAGAGTTCTATGAATGAACTCTGGCGATAAAAACAACTTGTATGTGCTGCGGAATGCCCTGAATATCAGGTATAAAACGGACTGTGAAGTTGACGACAAAAATCCTCTTTGCATTATGATATGCAATATCATACAATGTGATCGGAAACAAGGTAATTCCTTACTGTGTGTTGTGCCAATGATCGTCGTTGGACCAGGTACGGTGTACTTCACAGGAACACGTGACATATCCTGGCAATAAAACGGGTTATTATTGGTTAACACTTTGTAATATGTAGGACAGACCAGACCATCTCCTACAATTTGTTACAATGCGTATCAATAGGTGTAAACAGATCAAGTATATTGCCTCACCCCTCCCCCATTACCGACGACTTGTGTGAACAATATATATATTAGTAATCTGAAAGTAAAAAACAATATTTCGCTATGATAATAACAATAATAACACAATTCAATCGTCGAAGGCCAATGATTATATAATAAAGTTTGTTGTCCAATCGAAGACTCTCACCTGAGCCATCCTCCATTCTTTAGCTGCCCAATCGTCTTCATTGCATGGTTCTGATGAGAGAAATACGCCGAAGGCCCATATGTTGTAAGTCATAAATTCGTTATAGTACTTATATTAGTAGCAACATGACATTGGATTAGCTTCTGTTCTGTGATAATCCAACATCGAGTTGTAAATATGGTCGTAATGGCTTTTAATACTCATTGTTTTCGTAACTCGAAAAGTTCATTGTCCATCTACCGTGTTTGTTGTAGATGCCTTATCACATACATACCGAAAAGTTCATTGTCCATCTACCGTGTTTGTTGTAGATGTCTTATCACATACATACCGAAAAGTTCATTGTCCATCTACCGTGTTTGTTGTAGATGTCTTACCACATACATACCGATTTTCCCAACAATTCGAGGCAAATGAGCTTTAAGCGCCCCATTGCGAATAGGCCGCAGTATTGGATTCTCGAAATCAAATCCTTTTATGTGCCGACTGTAGGTAAATGCAGATAAATGATTATTTCGCAAAAAAAAAATACTGAATTATTAGTAGTGAGTATGAGGGCACGGCAAAAATAATTAAACAAATTGTTAAATCGTTCAAACATTCGGACAGTGAGCAAGTGCGCATGCTTAGCAGTACCGCCCTCTTAGTAATATCAGTATGTTCTCGATATATTCTAGAGGAAACAAATATGTATGTAGTTTAAAACGTTGAGAAGATGAGCGTTTAACTTCAGTGCCTGGCCCTGCAATATCGGTCATCGACATTTAAACTGTTGTTTCAGTCGATTTAACGTTCTATTTGTGACGTTATTATATGTGGCAAACTCCCATCAAGAAATATTAGTATAAGTAAGTAGTATTTGCTCTTCGGTATATATAGTTTTTGGCTAATATTATAAAAATATACTCCTACATCATTTATACATCATTAACACATCATTTATATTTTTCCTCACATTTTCTTTAAAAACAGATTTAACCTCTTTTCAGGTTATCCGTTTTCCAATGATAAATAAAAAAAAATAGAGTTCGATCAAAGATTATGTTCGCAAAATCAGTCGATTAGTGTAGACGACAAAATCTAACTCTCGCAAACAGTGACAGCGCCGAGAGAAATTAGAACAACTTACTTAAGTTTGATAATCTCGTTTCCAATTTCGTTGCCCAATTACTTTGGCGTATCGGTTTTATGGGTAAAACGCAGTTGTGGAGTATGAGAGCGGCGACTGATACGAAAACTGACACAGTGATTGTCTTAGTGTAAGCATAATTCATCGCTCAATTTCCAATACAACTGGCTATAGGTTTCCAGTGTGAGGCATTGGTTGAGTGAGACTTATTTCGCAGTGCAAGTTCGCGATCGGATACCTGGAATGTACGATAAATTCTGAATATTTACCAAAAAAAGAAGATGTAGTTTTCTCTACTCATATCGCCGTCGGTGATGACGTCAATACCCAGTTCGGTTTGCTCATCTATAACATCTTTAATTGCTTTCTTCAACACTTCTTCCAATTCTGAAAGTGAGATAAAATATTAACAGAACCGCAGATAGGTCATTGACAAGACAGTGAGTGATATTAATTCAGTGCTGATTGATATTCGACGTCGGTGACGATATTTAGTTTGCCAAGAGGTGAGGGAAAAATATAAATTTATAAATCATAATAAGAGTGATATTATGCTGACAAATGGGAATTGAAAAGAAGATGACACCATACAATATTACTATTTTACTTCATTGCTTGAAAAGTGTTGGCATCACCGGAATTTGTTTTGCATCAAATGCGCCTCGGGCAAAGAAGTCAAATACAGCACGGTTACTAAAAAATACGCCTAGGAAACGCTATTGTTAAATGGTGTGAATCTGCCTAATCCCTCCAGGATGCGTGTCGCGCTGTGTACGCCCTCTATTGCTTGAGATTTCAAGGCCCACTATTTTGTTTCATTTTTGTGTCGATCACTTGATGTTCCGCGAATTTGAAATTTTAAGCTCGTTTTCGATAGAAATCCACGTTTTAGTAACCGTGAATACAGTAAAAGGGCGGTGGCCGTCGCGCAGCGCGTGTTCGAATTTCATGTAAATAAACAATGTATTTTACACGCGTTGTGTACGTTGCTATGAGTTTCATATCGACCACGTGGCGGCGCGACGACCACTTGTTTCACTTGTTGTTATCATGATCTGTATTAAAGTGTGAATTCCACATGAAACACACTCACAACTGTAAGGAGGCGAGTTATTATACACTTTGAGCATATGTATACAATATTCCAACACACCCCTTAATTATAGTGATTATACCTTCGAGCGATGTCTTCTTACAGTACTCGGAGTAATCGGTTGGTCGGACTTCATAAGGAGGTTTGAACCAGTCCGGAATTTCAAGATAGTCTGGTTTCGGGTAGCTGCCGATCACAGTGGTACGCAGCGGCATCGTGTTCACCACACCACTCGTTGTTTTACACTAAAATATCATATTCATTTCGTTGTGGGAGATTATGGTTCTCCAGGAATAACTCTCAATTATTTGTGGCATTATTTGTGAGGCTGGTACTCGATTTTTACCATATTCAACGGTGGCAGATTATACCAGAGAGATTACTCATCTAATAATAACTAGCGATAGTGATACGTGTATAGTTAGCATACAGAAACACGCCCCCAATAATACAGTGACACTGAAATCATGGTACGTAGTCATACCCAGAGCACACTATTATACTATCTCATTGAATGGTGTATTATAAAGGCCAAATTAAAAATAAATGAACAATAAATATTTTAAATACTTGTCAAATAACTCGATGGTTATGACTTTTAAATTACAATCAGAGGTTTGTTCATGTTGATTGGTCATTGAACAGCTCGGACTGTATACTTCAAGTGAATTGAGGATAATAATGTAACACGCCTAACATTTCTCTGAATTAATTATTAAATAAAATGATACTGGAATTCCGGTTTGTTCAGTGATAACTAATTTCCAATCAAAATAATTCATGATTAATAAATACAACTACAAATACATTGATCCATAAATTAACACAAACCGTAACAGTGTAACCGTATTTAAAATACTACAAAGAAACGAAACAAAAGAATGAATGAA